GGGCAGAGTGGCAGCAGAAATTGAAACAAACTTTCCCGTTTAAAAGAAACTTTTCCGAGTTGTTTTATGACGCTGCCACCTATCAATCAGAATTTGGGCAAAATCTAAGCGAATACTGTTTCACCAAATTATCAAAACTAAACAAGTTAAAACTAGATTTCTCTGAGGAACAAATTGTTGATTGTGTGATAGGGGGAATTACGAATAAACAAATTCAATTATCAATAAAAGCAGCGAACTGCAAAAGTTTTGTTGAGTTATCCCGATTTATTACTAACTTTCCGTCTACGAGTACAGGAACAGTATTAGATTCATCTAGCAATCTCCGTATGATGGGCAGGGTAGTAAAAAGAAACCCGACACCAGAAAGTACTGGTAATCACGAGGCAAAGCGACCGAAAATTGGTTTCTCAAATTCAAAATGTTTCACCTGTGGTGAGACAGGTCACAAACGCGTAGACTGTACGGCTAAGACGCGTAATTTCGATAATAAACAACAACCATTGCCAAAAAAGAGGCCACGTGGAAGCCGCATGTCGCAAGAAAGTTCGAGAAGCTTGGAAGAACAATAAAAATGTTAACTTCGTTGGGTCCCAAGAACCATTCAGTATTTACCACAAACAAGCTAAAATAAATAATCAGATTGTCCCGTGTTTCATTGACCCTGGAAGCGAGAGTACATTAATACGGCAGTCCGTTGCTAAAAGATTAAAACTTAAACAAGAACTATTACAGAGCAGCATAGTTTTATATGGATTTAATAACAGTCATACACGCACAAATTTAAGAGCCACTACCAACATAGTAATAGACGGTGTTCATGTTTACACACAAATGTATATAGTTGATGACGATGACATACGCCAGAGCCGGGCAAACTTTAACTTCGCAGGAGCCGCTACATGAGGTTAGTTTGAGTCACTCCATACCCTTCAATGAGTACGAGAGAGTAAGCAGTAATGAATAATTTTGTTTTGTCTTTTTCTTCTCCCTTCCACTCCCATATCAAGCCCCTTCATCCCGTAGACGAGCGAAGCCACTCACGCAACTTAAAAAATACCTACGAAAATTTTCGTTACTATGTTCGCAAAACTATAAGAAAAGGAAAGAATCATCTCACTCGCAGGATCAATGAGGATCCACTTGGTTAACCTTGAGGATCACTCGGGATGCAAAAGATCCGAGTTTGCCCGGCTCTGAGTTAGGTGATCGCTTTGCTATAAATTAAATATCAGATTCCAAAAACGCAAGAGAAACAGCAATAAAGCAAAATATACAGTGCGGGCCAATGAAACCGAAATATTTGACAAAATTACATGACAAACTAGTTGAATACAACGATAGATTCAGTTTTTCCCTTAGTGATTTAGGCAAGACAGGGACTACCTTAATGAAAATAGAATGTTTTACAGACAAACCTATAACCTATGCGCCTTATCGGCTATCTTTGGCGGAACGGAATGAGGTAAAAACAATGATCAATGATCTTCTGATGCACGAAATAATACGGGAGTCTCAATCGTCTTATTCTAGTCCGATATTATTAGTTAAAAAGAAAGACGGTGCTAAAAGGCTTTGCGTAGACTTTAGAGCTCTGAATCAAATTACCAAAAAGTATAGATATCCACTACCACTGATAGAGGATCATTTAGATAGATTGGGAGGTTCCCGTTATTTCATAACACTGGACTTGGCCTCAGGATTTTACCAAGTCCCCATGAGTCCAGAATCTGTAGAAAAGACGGCGTTCATAACGCCAGACGGCCACTATGAGTTCCTCCGTATGCCGTTTGGTCTTGCCAACGCCCTTGCGGTATTTCAACGACTTATGAATACCGTCTTGGGAGAACTTAGGCATGAAACAGCACTGGTCTATATAGATGACGTCATCATACCGGCCAAAACATACAAGGATGGCTTACGAAAATTAGAAGCGGTTTTACAGAGGCTCAGAGATCATAATTTAACTTTAAAACTTTCCAAATGCTCTTTCTTCCAAACTACAATAGAATACTTGGGGCGCGAAATATCAATGGAAGGGGTACGACCAGGGAGACGAAAAATAGCAGCAATATTGGATATGCCTATCCCAAAAAATATCCGACAACTTAGGCAGTTCTTGGGTTGGCTGGGTATTTCCGGAAATTTGTTCGAAACTTTGCTGTTATAACACAACCTTTGACAAAATTATTAAAAAAAGACATCCCCTGGGAATGGAAGGACGAACAAGACAAAGCTGTAAACAAAGTGAAAGAAATACTAACCACCCGACCGGTCCTAGCAATATTTAACCATGTGTGGGAAACAGAAGTCCATACCGACGCCAGCAAGTTGGGTCTAGGCGGCATTTTAATTCAAAAGGATGATAAACGAAACAAACATGTCGTAGCCTACTACAGCAGACAAACTACGGGGTTAGAACAAAAATATCATTCATATGAATTGGAGACGCTCGCAGTCTTAGAAGCTATGCGTCATTTTAGAGTGTACCTAATTGGAATCAAATTTAAATTGGTAACGGATTGCAGTGCAATCAAAAGTACTGCTGTTAAAAAGGATATTATTCCCCGGATCGGAGGATGGTGGCTCGAAATGCAAGACTTTGACTGTGAAATTGAATACAGACCTGGTGCCAGAATGGCACATGTAGATTGCCTGAGTCGTAATCCATCTGAAGATAAACAAGAAATCAATACCATTATAAACATAACGGAGGCCGTCTGGCTTCAAGCTGCGCAGTTAGAGGATGAAGAAATATGTCGAATCCGAGAAATTTTAGAATCAAATAATCAAGATCCAGGCTTGAAGGTAAATTTTGACAACTACATATTAAAAGGAGGCAAGGTTCATCGGAAGTTGGGCAAAGACGCAAAATGGGTTGTGCCGAGAGCCAATCGTTGGCAGATATGTAAACTATGTCACGACGACATGGGGCATTTTGGCCTAGAAAAATACAGGAGAACTACTGGTTTGCAGGGATACGTCGACTCCTGTTTAAATTGCCTTTACTATAAGACTCCATCGGGACGAAAGCCAGGAAAGCTGCATCCCATACAAAAAGTACCGATACCCTTTCATACCATTCACCTTGACCACCTCGGACCTTTTGTGAAATCCAATAAGCGCAATACACATCTACTAGTGGCAGTAGATGGCTTTACTAAATTCTGCATCATCGAACCCGTACGAAGTACGAAGACAAAGTACGTAATACGGGTAGTTGAAGACATAGTAAATATATTTGGAGTCCCAGTGAGGATCATAACGGACCGAGGTAGCGCATTCACCTCGCGAAGCTTTAAGCAATTTTGTTTAGAATATGGAATAAAGCACGTCTTAAATGCAGTCGCCACGCCGCGTGCGAGTGGGCAATGCGAAAGATTTAACCGCACAATCCTCAGTTCTCTGGCAGCATTAAACGGGGGCAAGGAAGATGATGAATGGGACTTACAGGTTAAGACAGTGCAAAGGGGACTAAATAACACACTCCATCGAACCATGGGAACTACGCCCGCTGAAGTGTTGTATGGGTGTAAACCACGTAGCATCCCAGAGTCTATAATACTAAGCGACTTGATGGATCAATTTGATCGTGCGGACTTAGCGACCCTAAGACGAAAAGTACAAGATCGATTATCCGCAGATCAAGAGACTCAGAAGAAACGCTTTGACATGAAACGATCGAAATCTAGGGAATACAAGGTCGGCGATCTGGTGATGATTGCAAAAACCGATAGTCCAGCCACCGGTGAGAGCCGAAAGCTACAACCTAAGTTTAAACGGCCATTTCGAATTACAGCAATTTTGGCAAACGACAGGTACGCTGCAGACCAGGTGTCCGAGAGGTACCGTAAATGCCTAATTGTAGTTAGTGTTGACAAAATGAAGCCCTGGGTTACCTTGAAAGACGACAAAACTACGCCTCTCACAAGTGGTAATGTATTAAATGTATACCTATTGACTAAACATATGTAAAGCAGCTAAGCTCGAGACATATGAGTACAAAAAAAAGTTTATAAAGCAGCAAAAGGGGTACAAATGAAACATCACAGATTTTTCAAAATTAGTTTCTAAACGCTTTGTAAAGTGTTCAATGCATAGGATGGTACATATGTACATAAATGCTAAGTACTCGTAAACATAACGAATTTACAGTCCGACACAAACGCAAAATGTTCGTAGTAAGACAGTAAACCAAAACATTCGAATCGTTTGTGTTCTACCCAGATATGCAAAATATTCGATCATGTAAAACGCGGTGCACGATAAACATGAAAATATTCGAGGCATAGGGGAAAGCTATCTTTGTAAACTGTTCGGTGTGCACTAGAACAGTCGATACAAAATAGCCGATTAAAGTGTAAAATACTCAATAAATGAGTGTTCGAAGCACACACGTGATTAATGTTTGTATGGCATCGAATGCATCCTTGACGACGCAAAATGCCGGTGTAATTTAATCCTAAAAATCTGAAAATAGATTTTAATGTCTAGGTCAAGACCGGATTGAGGACAATCCGTGAATCAGGAAGACCGAATGTAAGCAAAAAAGGCCCATGCACGCCAGCTTATCTGGAATTGTGACCAAAACCAAAACAATGGGGCCGGGGATTTTTCGAGAGGAGACATTATTGAGCCCGCTAGACTCGTGACCGGTCATATAGAATGTTCTATCCTGAATCGTGAATTATTAGATATGTGCATATGTAAAATATTGTAAATCAGACTCGTTAATATATTTACCTATATAAAAGAAAAACTAAAGTGTGTCTAAATTCTTCTCCAACACAACAATGAGCAAGTACGTAGTATCTTACAATAGAGAGACTTTTAGAAAATTACAATATAATTTACATATTCTTATAAAAAAAATGTTGTCTTTTTCCATAAATAAAATAGTACCTGTCGCAATAATGATTATCATCAGTAAAAGTAAGGACAGTTACTACACATAATTACAGATGCTATATGTAAATTACTTAATAAAATAATCACTCTTCTTTCACTCGTTTCAGTTTAAACATAAACTTATGAATACTTTTATTTAACATTAAATACGCTTTACATTATTTAAAAAAACTTCGAGGCACTGGAGGAACAGGTGGAACCTGACTTTTTCTTTTATATTCTTTATGCTTTGCGTGTCCACCACAGAATAATATCCAAGATATATACCGCTTTTTCGTCAAATCAAACATATATGTTTCCTTGTGTGCTGTTTGTATACATCTTAACAAGCATAGTATACAAAGCTAAGGAATATGTAAAAGAAATGCCGTCATTGTAATTTTTTTTTGTTTTATAAATAGAAAAACTATACTCACGTTTACTTTTAAAAGTAAAGCAATGAGAATTGTACATTGCCAACTAAATCTTTTTTCCTGCTTTACTATCTCTGAAAAACATCCTCTTGGAGTTACGCTGAAGTTTACATGTTTATTGTAAATGTAAGGTGAAACTGAAGATAACCTTTCTACTCCATGATGTATGCATTGAGAAATTACTCCAAAAGAACAACAACTAAATGGTACTTCTCCTAATGTACCGTCCTGTCTTTTATTAAAAAAAATTAGTCTTTTGAAATTCAACACTATTAACCCTTACGCAGTAGTTCGTAGATCTTCTTCATACCAAGTAATATTATACCATTCCGTGTAGTTTCTGTTTCCGCAACATTGAAATTTTATTTGCAAATTATCAATTTGTTTCTTTAATTCAAAGTTCTTTCCATAATTTTTCATCGCGGTAATCATTCCATCATGTGAAAGTTGGTGTGAGTCAAAAATACGTATGAATATCATTAGACACATTGCATACAATAATACCACAAAAATAGACAATAAACAAGACATTATAAACATAACTACGTTTATAAACTTTTGAGGTATTGGTCGAAAAGCTTTTTTAATTATAACCGCAATGATTATATTTAAAATAATTGCTAAAAATGCTGAAATACCTAGAGCTGTGGGTAAGTAATAACCTTTGTTATCAGAAATCATATTTACGAAACTACTAAAGTTAATAACAAGATTAATAGATTTTGCCATCATGTAAACGCATTGTACCGTGTCACAAATGATAAAAAAATAACAAAGCGTTTGCAGTCTTCGTAATGTAGTGTAATTCAAATGAAATGTAAGGCAGCTTCTTTTGATATATGAATTTGTTTTTGATTTGTTGGAACTTTTTTTGGCTCTTTTCACTCTTTTCCGCACTTTCCATAACAATAACATATTTCTAAATCTGACAAATATTGATAATGCATGTCACTCAGTCACCGCAGACTAGATGTATTTCTAATAAGATTATACCATATTACCAGTTGCCATATGGCCTAAAAACGGACCGGATTGCGATTTTTCACCTCTCTCTTTTCCTTTAGGACAGTTTTTGTATAAGTGCCGTTTGGAACTACATCCGGAACACTCTGAACAGTCTTTTAGTGTATGACCCTTTTTACCACACATATAGCAACCCAATGCATCCTTCGACACATGTTTTTGTTTCAAATTTTGCCTCACTTTGAATTTAGAAAACAAAGCAACACTTTTGTCTACTTCTTCAGCTGTTTTCCTCAGTTTTTGCTCTTCAGTGAGCAAACGAGTTCCAATGTTTTCTGAGCTGCATCAGTAAAGCCATGCATTGTGGAAATGTTGAAATTCTCAAAACTTACCTATGAGAAATTTTAAACTGTACATATTCTGGTCGAAGCAATTCTTAACTCCACACCCATTCATCATCCCCTGTCATCTGATTCTAATGATTTACAACTACTAACTTCGTCTCACTTTATACATGGAAGTGACTACGCCTTTTCCTAATGTATGAGACATTCCTTTGAATAAATTATCGTAATTCAGTTACTTCAACAACTTTCCCAAAGTTTCTGTGAACCAAACCAATATTCCGCATTCGTGCGTTCGAAATAAAGCTGTATTTTTCTGATGTGTAGTAATTAATTAATGAAACAGTTAAGCCAATTTTTTTTTAAATGAATATCTGAAACGTTGCAAGGTAGGTTGTTACGTGATGTTGCTTGCATCATCATGGGCTGGCAGAGATGACTCAGTCTATGTTGCTAAAATGGACTGCATGGAAAATAGCAAACGACTCACGCAGATGAAACGTGAATTGGATTCTGACACGTTAGGGCCAGACAACGTTTCGAATTGAGAAGAAACTGTGATGGTACTTTATCACCACTTCTTCACGTTCCAATAGATATGATTACCATAAAAAAAATTTTCCGCAGAGGGAACAAACCAAGAATATCTATCGTATGTGCAATCGACTTTATTTGTCAGAAAAACATAACGCATACGTTTTAAAGATTTTTGAAATGACAACTATCGCTTGGCAAAAAAGTTTCTCCATGTTATCCGAGTCCGGATTTTTCACCCAGGATTGGACTTCCGTACTAGTCTCTCTTCTCTGCCATAGCGGACATTTTGGCTTTCGCTAGTATCTTAACCACAGATGTCGTAGAGGAGTAGACTGAGAAATAATTCTATAATAATTATTACTAACAATTTATGTATTTATGTTTGTAGTTTAATTGCTGTGTGTAAATATATGTCGTAGGCTAAAATTCGCCAATAGCCCTGCCGTCCCATTAGAAAAAATTAATTACAATTTGAACTTTTCTAATTTACGGATTTTTGCTGTCTTACAGTTATTTGAATTGGAGTAGCAGAACTCTTGCTTTATATAATTTATAATTTTAACGTAATCATTAAGCAAAACATTAGCAAAAGAAGATAAAATTTGAAAGAGTATATCTTTATATTGTTTTCCACAGCTACATATTTTTGAAAATAATTTTCCTAAAATTGGTTTTTGGTGTTCAGCCCGTAAACATTGTGTCTGCAGATTTTCGTTATTACTTATTTTTTCAAGAATGGCATAAATGAGAAAAAAACGTATACTAACATTATCGGTAGGAACAGAAAGTTCTCCCCTTTGTAAGCAATAAAAATAAATATCTCCAACACAAGAGACTTGTTTATTGTGAGCGAAACACAATTGTTGCAAGTTATCTTTTTACGAGCAGAATGAACTGCATATTCTGAAATGTGTTATATTGGTGACTTTTAGCTGGTTACGTTACCAACCTGTTAAGTAGGAAGTTTAGCTCGGTTAGGTTAGTAGCATAGGGGGATAGAGATAAGATGGTGGGGATTGTAACAAGCACTGAATAAACTGCAAGATATTTAACTACAATAGCGAATCGTTATTGCCGAACACCTTCAAAACCCTGCAAATATAACAGTGGCGACGAGGATTGACAGTTAGGCGTGTGGTCGACTGTGAACTCCGTGTGTTGTGACGTTTTTTTTTTTCTGTTTGCCGGGTGCAGTGTCAGGGTGTGACAAGTGTTGCGCAATAGTGACAAGCAGTGTAACGATGTCGGACTCTATAGGACATTTCGACCCGGCGAAAGAAGATATCGGTTCGTGGTTTTGCCGTTTTGAGGAATTTCTTCTTACCAAAGACATAATAGAGCCAGTGGCCGGAGCGGATGCAGCGACGCATGCCGCTGCGCTAACAACATACAACAACAAAAAAAGGGCGTGGCTCAACAGGTTGCTAGGCCCTACAGCACACCATGTGTTAGTGATTGCGTGTGCACCGGATTTGCCGACTGCCAAATCTTTTACGGACTTGAAGAACATTCTAGTTACTCATTATCGGCCTACCCGCAATAAAAACGACGAGCGGGATACGTACTTTAACCGAGTTCAAAAGCCAAATGAGACTGTGAGCGAGTTTGCGCTAGGTCTACGAAGCCTAGCCCGATATTGCGAATTCGGTGATATACTCGATTCTTTTTTACAATCGCAATTTATCAATAAACTGTGGGATTCGCGAGTGAAAGACAAAGTGAGGGATGGTGCCGTGAACTTCACTACCCTAGTGGCGAACGCTGCTAAACACGAGTCGGATCTCAGACCAGAAAATCCAACGCCCGCAGATGTCAATTACGTTCGACATAATCCACAGCGGAGAAGGAAGTGGAAACCGCCTCAACAGGGAAGCTTCCAGAACCGTAGAACGCCGAGAGACTCCGGGAGACCTACGCCGCCGAGCACCGCGTCATCGGGGAGCTCTGGGGGTGCCGGGCAGAAGGTCAACGCCCGGTGTTTTAACTGTAATGACATGGGTCATTTTTCCAGGGATTGCCCGCGTAAACGCCGACAGCGGAAGGTGATGAATGTTGAGGACACCACGGAGGAGCTGTCCCACCTAGATCTGAGCCTAGTGGAGACTCCGTTGCCCGTGTTAGCAGTGTCGCCGTCTGCTTTTCCGGAGAGACTTCTGATCGACGTCAAAGTCAACAATGTCCAGATGAAAATGGAAATCGATACGGGGGCGAAAGCGTCCGTTATCGGCCGCTCAACGTATCTACAGCATTTCGCAGAAGCACCGTTACGTCCTACCAGAGCCTTGACCTGGGGGGCGCCGATGAGGATGCTTGGCCAGTTCGACGCGAAGGTGTCGGTTGGGGAGCAGACTGCGACAGTGCCTCTATCGGTAGTTGATCGAGACTTTCCGTCGCTTTTCGGGTTGCCGTGGTTACAGCATTTCAAGTTGGACTGGGCCCGTCTTTTGCCACAGTCCGTGTACCAGGTCCTTGCCGTTTCGACGGCGTCGCCCACGCCGTACCCGCGCGCGCCGCCTCAACCTTGCCGTCCACGGCCGCTACCGCGTCGACCGTGACAACCGCGAGACTGCCGTCGACGCCTGCGACGACATCGCGTTCGGTAACATCGTCTACGACAGCGGAAGTCGCCGCGCTGCTCGAGACGTTTAAGAGGAAGTATCCTAGTGTCTTCGGTGAAAAGCCCGGACTCATCAAGGGATTCGTGGTCCACCTTCGCCTGAGGGAAGGGGCCGTGCCGGTGTTCCTGGGTCCGCGACCGATACCAATCGCTCGAGCAGCAGCGACCCAGAAAGCTTTGGAGAAGCTGGTATCATGCAACTTTCTGGTGCCGTGTACCGCAGGTCCTTGAGGTACGCCGATAGTAGGTGTTCCAAAAGCTAATGACGAGATACGCATATGTGGAGATTATGCGTTAACCTTAAACCGCGAGATGTTGTTAGCTGGACGTTCGACGCCGACGATAGACATGCTGTCACTCGTCGAAGGGGAGATCTTTTGTCTATTGGATATGGACCAAGCGTATCTACAAGCGCCATTGAGCCCGGAGTCCCAGGAGATGACAAAAATAAACACGCCGTTCGGGAGCTTCAAGTGGCTCCGGATGCCGTTTGGAATCGCATCGGGGCCAAGCGAATTTCAAGAAATTATTACGACCATTCTCGCCAACATCCAGAACATATTCATCTACCTGGATGATATCTTGCTTTGGGGATCGACGAGAGAAACTTGCCTGAAAACTCTTGAAGAAGTCCTCGCCCGACTGGAAAAACACAATATCAGGTTAAATGTAAAAAAGTGCAAGCTCCTGGTGTCCGAAGTGAAGTACCTGGGTTTTCAACTCAATCGTTTCGGAAGCCGCCCTGATCCGCAGAGGATTGAAGAATTGAAGCAGATGCCCCTACCGCAAAACCAGGTGGAGCTGAAATCGTGGATCGGAATGGTGACTTTTTTTTTAAGTACGCCCCGCACCTTGCAAAGATCCTGTACCCATTTCATCGTCTAGTCAAGAGCGCCGACCGGAAGTGGGAAGACGTGGAGCAGAAGGCCTACGATAAGGCCCTATCGGCTATCGGAAGTCAGATCTTAGTGCCGTATTCACTAAATAAGAGACTCCGGTTAACCACGGATGCGAGTCCGGTAGGCGCCGGTTGCGTGCTCAGTCACGTGACGGAAGATGAACGAGAGCAGCCAGTCGCTTTTGCAAGTAAGACGTTTACAGACGCCGAGAAGAATTATCCTGTGCACGAGAGAGAGGCCGCCGCGATGATTTTCGGACTGAAAAAGTTCAACACTTTCCTCGAAGGAAGGGAGTTCGAGCTGGTGACGGACAACGCCGCGCTGGTGGCACTGTTCGGCGACAAGAGCAAACTGCGCGCCTACGCCGCACAACGACTACGCCGTTGGGGGCTGATGTTGGGTGCGCATCGCTACACCATCGTCCGACATCGCAGCAAAGATATTCCGCACGCCGACTACCTTAGCCGACACCCCTGCGCCGATGACACCCCGGTCGAGTCGGAGGTCTACTGGGTCATGTCGACCGAAGAAAACATCTTGGTGTCCGCAGAAGAGGTGGCATCCGCGACAGCAGCCGATCCGGTGTTGCGCCGAGTTAGAGGGTACGTGCAGGAGGGATGGCCTGATCGAGTCACCGACGAAGACTTGAAGCCTTACCATAGAAGATACTTGCAACTGACCGTCGAAAACGGCTGCGTGCTCTGGGGAGTCCGCGTCGTCATGCCAGCCACCCTACGATCCAGGGTCCTCGAGTTGCTGCACGAAACTCACCCAGGGGTCACACGGATGACGGCGCTAGCGAGAGGTTACGTGTGGTATCCTTACCTAGACGCCGACATTGAACAGAAGGTGCGAGATTGTGCCGTCTGCCGCACGCTCCAAGTGGAAAAGCCGCACGAACAGCTGGTCCCTTGGTCCTGGCCAACTCGCCGTTGGCAGAGAGTGTATATCGACTTCGCGGATTACCGAGGTGCCGTGCTACTGCTGGGCCAGGATGGCCATTCCAAGTGGCCGGAAGTGCAAATCCTTCCAAATAAAACGGCCGCTACAACTGTGGAAGCCCTACGAACTTGGTTCGCCCGATGGGGACTCCCCGAAGAGGTTGTGGCCGACAACGGGCCGCCGTTTGCGTCAAACGAATTCAAAACGTTTCTCGAAGCCCACGGAGTTACGTTGACGCATTCCCCGTCTTTCCACCCCGCCAGCAATGGCCAGATAGAGAGGAGCGTCCAGTCCGTCAAGGCCTGCTTAGAAAAACAACTGCTTGACAACGCGTCGTCTGCGCGCTCTTTGCAACACAAAATAGATTCCTGGTTGTTCGCGTACCGAAACACATCGCACTCCGTCACAAAGGTCACTCCAGCTGAGCTTTTCCTCGGGCGCCGTCCTAGGACGAAGCTGTCTCTGGTCAAACCGGATCAGATTCTAAAGAAGAGGATGGCCCGTGTGGGAGAGAAGACCAAGCAAGACAATCCGGGGTCAACATCCGTTTTCCGTCCCGGAGATTTGGTGTGGGTCCGGTCCGTGGTCCATCGCCGGATACTGTGGTTGAGAGGAACAGTTGAGGCACCCGTTTCCCTCGTCAGCTACGAGGTGGCCGTCAACGGAAAGGTACGGCATGTGTCGACTACTCACCTTTCACCTCGCTCTCCGTCGGCTACGAGCTTCGAAGGGGACCCGGTGGCGCGACTTTTCGCGCCGCCTGTTCCGGAGACGTCTATTCCTGACGCCCCCGTGGTGCCCGTCCCGGGGCTGCCCGCGCCTGAAGAGCCTTCGGTGGTGCGTCCGTCTTCGCCGCCGCCGGGCCCGCCGCTCGAGACGACCCCGCGAGTTCCCGAGGCAGCCGAGTCGCCAGTGGTGCCGCAACCTGTGATACCCTCCTCATCGAGAACCACTACGCCCCGAGCTGAGGGTCCGTCGACGAGCCTTGCGTCACCTCCGAGACGCCTGACGTCCATGTCGACGCCTACCAGGTCGACGACGACGTTCCCTAGTTCTATGCCGCCCCACGTCTCCCGAGCTGGAAGACGTATCGTGATGCCAAAGCATCTGTCTGATTTTGTTCCAAAATAGTTTGTAACTTGTCTCTTAGTTTTTTTTATTGATCTATATTTTTGATATTAGTCTGTTCAAGTTATGTGTTCTATATTTTTTTCTATTGTAGTTGGTACTTTGCTATAGTGTATTCAATTTGTTTGTGATTTTTTTGATTTACCTATATTTTTGATATTACTTAGAGCAGAATTTTTGATATTAGTCTGTTCAAGTTATGTGTTCTATATTTTTTTCTATTGTAGTNTTTTATTGATCTATATTTTTGATATTAGTCTGTTCAAGTTAAGTGTTTGATATTTTTCTATTGTGGTTGGTACTTTGCTATAGTGTATTCAATTTGTTTGTGATTTTCCGCAAGTGCCATCCTTAGATTTTTTTATGCGGGGGAAAGTGTTATATTGGTGACTTTTAGCTGGTTACGTTACCAACCTGTTAAGTAGGGAGTTTAGCTCGGTTAGGTTAGTAGCATAGGGGGATAGAGATAAGATGGTGGGGATTGTAACAAGCACTGAATAAACCGCAAGATATTTAACTACAATAGCGAATCGTTATTGCCGAACACCTTCAAAACCCTGCAAATATAACAAAATGTAAATGTTTAAGGAGTCACATAATTCACAATTCATTAAATAATCGGAATTTAATATTTGAATAAACTGACTTACGTTTAAGGGAGAATTTTCAACAATTTTTAAATTTCTGTTTCATCATTCACTGGCAATCTATGATATGTTAAAAGCACATTCAAAACATTACCGGCAGTGGATACATTTTTTACTGTTTTTATAATGTCACTTACGTTAAAGTGATGTATGTACACTGCAGATTATTTTCATGGAGTCCAATCTTTGCGAGGTATAGCACTTATGCATTTTTTTCGTCATGTTTTTGGGAATAAAAATATACACATACTTTTTAAAGATAATTTATAATTTGAATTGCAACTGGGAACACAACAACGACGAGACATTTTCTTAAAAAATAAACAAGAAAATTTACAACTAAAACATACAATCTGACCTAAAATTACTAAAACACACTATAAGCATCCTTATTGCACGATATTTCCGCTAAAATTAAAATATTATAGAACAATGAAAGAAACACAGCAACTAATGCATTAGTTGTAACTCTCATTAGCTGGGAAATCCTGGGTGGCTTGCAAGTAGAGACGGCTGTTACTGCGTATGCTATGTATAGCATTTCGGAGCAAAATCACACAGCAGCGCTGCCGCAAGTATAATATCATCTCCATGTAGTTGAAGCAATGCCTCAACGACGCTGCCACTCATGCATATTGGTAGCCTTCGTCGCTATGTGAATTATTGGTATAGGCGCAACCATACCTGTATTTTACTATTGCAACAGTTTTTCATACATTGTTATACCTATCATCTTTTCTACTTCGCTAGTGTTGATGTTCTAAATACGTGTCAAAGATCATTGACGACCACATAAAACTAATTTTGTATCCCTTGGGAACAGTATTTTTTCAGAGTAAAAGGTTCCGTATGTTCTTTTTCGTACACCTGGCAATGTGTGTACAAAATTTCATGATGATTGGTTAAGTAGTTAAGGCGTGAAATCAACAAATAAACCAACAAACTCACATTTGCATTTATAATACTTGTTAGAATTAATTAGGTTATATTATTCTCAATTTTTGTATACTTTTATATGAAAAAACAATAAAAAATTGAACGTTCGCGACGCGACGAGTAAAACTAAAGTAACGTTAACCTAAAACCTATTTAGGTTATTATTAGCGTTAATTAACTCTGAACAATTTACGTTTGGCATGAGTAGTAAAAGCATGCTTATTTGGATTTAGCAAACCCTTTTACTTATGTCGGGAGACCAAGTTGATATGCCGGATGACCAGATACAATTCATTTCAAATGGTCAGAGATATACCCCTTCCCTTCACCTAGATGGGCCAATAAAAAAAACTAGTATATATTCACTGTACAGCGTAAGAACGAGCATAACTTGGTGATGCTATACGGCCACGCTATATATTAAGGACGTTCCCAAAGACCAGTGGTTCTCAACCTACAAATACGATTTCCCTATATAAGTTACCCACTTGTACTGTAAGAATTAATTGCTAGCACTACGCTCTTTTGCCCCGCCTCCCATGCACATAAGCGAAAAAGTTAACTTACTGCGTCGCTTTATTCGACTTGACAACGTCTCATATTTGTATCGTCTCGAACTGATGAAGGTGAAAAGATATCATTACTAAAGTGATACAATTTTTAAGAAACAAAAAAGCCAAATAATTTATTTATTAGTTTCGGTAACATAAAGTTATACTTATATATTATAAATACATTCTTTATCATTTTATATAACTGTTCATTTTTATTATTATCAGTCAATGAATATTTAATTTCTTTCTAATATAAACAGTGTATTTTATTTTTTATTATATTTTTTAAGCCTATGAATTTATTAAAAAGTAGAACTCATGTTTTTTCAACTAAACATTTTTATTCAAAATAATAATGAACTGAATTATAATCAATATTATTAGTAATTGTAATATTAATAATAATCGAGTGAATATTAATAGTAATTTTAATATTGTTAAATGAAATCAGACAACAATAAATAAAAACACGCAGGTTCTACAGTTTAGGATAACCAACATAAACGTCCCGCGCTATTGCAGCGAAGCCAAGTCGCACACTACTGATCAGCTTATGCAGGAGAGTTTGAGTCTGAGATTTACTTTACACATTGTTTACAACAAAATTAATACCGCTTCTTGTACCGATTTTGTATGGAAATTATTTATGTGAATATTAACTGCTAATTCTCGAAATTTAAAAAAAATTGTAAGAAAATTAAAATTGTTAGGCACTAAAACCTACATGAATGTATAAATTAACATGCGTTCAAATAGAAATTTAAAATGCTAATATTTTCAATTTTAGTACCGCAAAATGGGTCGAAATTTTTTATATGCGTTCAGAATACAGGTAGGTATTTACAATTAAGTTTTAAAAATGATCGTTAGAAAATTTTTTTTTGGGAACGTCCTTAAGCAAGACATGTAAAGTACTTCTACCTCTCGTCTTCTTGGCAAGTTTATTAAAACCAGTAATTTTGAAAATGTAAATTTCTTTATTTAACCTGATGTACAACTTATTTCAACAAGAAGTTGCTGATGTTAATTAAATTCACTATTTTCACTCTGTTCTTTATCCTCAAAAATGTCACATTCACTATTAAAGCCACGTACACAGTCACTATCAAATGCATGTGGCCAAATACCTTCCCTTTTAAAATATTTAACATGTTCTTTGGATAACACTCTGACCATTTCAGCTTTAACTTTATCGCCTTCTTCAATAGGTTCCACGAGAATAAAGTTACCTCTTCTAACCCATATATTTTTACGAAATTTAGATGGCATGCTTATTAGGAAAACAGATCCCTCGGAAGACTCAACTTCATGTAGGTTGTTTCCTTTACTAGAAATGACTCTTACTATCTGTTGATTTTTAGATGGCAAAGAAAAGTCATCCTGAAGAACCTCCATTTGTACATGTTTCCTTTTTGTTGCCTTTGACATCACTAAAAAAAAATATATATAGTAGAATTTGATAAAACACAATGAATTTTATTTATTGATAAATAAATACCTATACAGGGTGATTGATCTAAACCGATAAAATTAAAGATCTGGAGGGAACAAAATGAGATACTGATTTGAAACTTAGCATACTTCTACATGTCACAAGCATCTGGGTATTTAATGAAAATTTACTTTTGTAAACTGTGAAACTTTCGGTTTAGTTATTAAAATTAAACGCATTTTTTTAAGGATGATGGAGTCGAGTCCACGTTGATTCAAATGAATTGCCAGGGCCAATATGAAAGCTCGTAATATATATTAATAATTTTAATTAATTAACCAATCACATGAACCTATTATATAACAGTTGCATTTCCCAATTAAAAAATGTGTAACATAAGAGTTCTATAAAAAAAAAAGTATGAAGAATGCCAATTAAATGAGTCCCGATGGGTCAAAATTTACAGGTTTGTTTATAACAAAGTTAATAATAAAGTTCTGGATTAAGACTCTAAAACATATTAGTGTTCAGCATACGAAATAACTGCCACATTTGAGCCTAATCGGATAAGTGGTTTCCGAAATTTTTTCTTCAAAGAATGTAGGGGCCTAACTTACTCTATAGTGTTTTCCCAATAAAGTTGCCCTTTAACTAAAAGAAAAACGATTATCCGGATCGGTTGAAATTTAATATAAAATAAGTAATATTGAAAACACAAGATTTTTACTACAAATAAATGCAATATCGTACGCGTCTGAAACAAAAAAAAAGTAGCCATTACCGACAAAAAGTGCACTTATTTAAAAAAAAGGAAAGTTCCACGACCATTAGAAGCCGATATAATTTCTTTTAATCACTACAGTATAGTAATATAAAAACAAAAAAGAAATATTTAGGATCTTTAAAAGAAATAGCGATAAACAATACACAGGTAAATTTTCGCATTTCTACGCAAAGTACAATTTGTTTATATTGTGTAAAATAAAAGGTGTATCTATCAATACTGAGTTGCTGGTAGCTATTGGAATCAGTCAGTAGTTCGCTTCGCAGTAGTCTAATACTCAGGAAGTCCGAAGCACCAGGTTGTAGTAGCTAATAGTAGTAGCGTAAACTCACAGTACTTACACTAAATAAAATAAATTAAATACACCACATACCACATAAATATGGATTAATTACCTCTTAAAATAATACCTTTTTAAATTTATTTATTACAATTCAGTGTTTATTAATATTTTTTAATAATAATCCAAGATAAAAAAGTATTGTTAATAATTTCAGTTTCTGTTAAAACAGAGCATTTTTCGACCCCCTAACCCTAATAATTATTTACAGTCGCTAGCTACCACCTCAATTCATCCGCAAGTCCCTGATAAACCCGCAATAAAACTTGTAATAAAAAAATTGTATTAGTAGTATAGTGTAGAAAACTGGTACGCTAAACATCAAGTCAAAGAATGAAAACGTTATATCTCGGCTATCGAAGGGAAAAACCTAAAAGCCGTAAAAAGCATTCAATTAAAATTACTTGAGGAACTTACAAAAAATTTTTTATTCTTGATATGTTTCGATGAGATTCACATGTAGTACTGACTTTTCTAAATCTGTTTTTCTAACTCCTGATAAGAAAATATCTTCACAGTGTTTACGAAACTATAATAATAGTGATCAGATGGCAAGTGGAAAGATAAATCGACTGCTGGTTCATAAAATCTTAACCGTATCAGACCAAACGATAGATCCTTGTTCACAAACTTCGTTTTAAAAATAAACATGGTCTTAAACCAAAAAATGTCCGCCAAAAGAAATGGGTGACGGTAAAGTTAGAATACCTGGTGCTCTAGTTAATGTAACGACGGTTTTAAATAATTCGAATGTTAAATACAAATTACCGGATCTTAGTTTAAACCTAAAACCATTAGAAAATATCGTTGTAAATGAAGTACGTAGTCCTAATGAGGTAAAAGGCGATAATTTTAATAGCTTAAAGAAAATAAAATCTTTCTTAAAGTACAATCATTTAAACCCTGAGGAGAAACGTCATATTGAACAATTACGCTTAGATTTTAACGACATATTTTTACTCGATAATAACAAATTAACTTTTACAAACAAAATAAAACAAGATCATCACCGGTGATCATCCGGCTATTCACGCTCGAAATTATAGTTGCACACACTCCCTCAAAAATGAAGTTAACCTTCGAGTCTTTGAAATGTTATAACAAAATATTATACGTCCATCATTTTTACCGTGAAATGCCGAAAAAGCAGGGAACTTCGGACAAACTAGTGGAGAATAGTAGTTGACTACAGGGATCGTAATAAGGTCACAAAGGCAGATAAGTTCCCTATTTCTAGCATAGAAGAAACTTTTGAGTTACTCGGAAAAGCTAAATACAGTCGAACCTGGATAAGCGAGAATATTATTCTCACTCATAGAGTTTTCTCATTTATAGAGGTTAATAGAAATCGAACATAACCATGGTGGTAGAGCGTCAAGAAATAGTTAATACATAAGTATATAAACATTTGGCTATAAATAGATACTTATTTTATTTATTTAAAGAAATCAGTTAATTTTCCGCTTCAATATTTTGAAGGAACAACGTCAAACGTACTTTCTCCAATGTTTGTTATCAACTGAAACCAAATGTAGAGGATGAGTACCATCAGCAGGAACAAGCGCACAAGTATGCTGCAGATGTCTAGTAATTGTAAATAGTCTCGGTTACAGAGGTCTAGAGTAAGAAACTGTCACTTACAGAGGTCTAGAAGTGAAAAATGACTCTCTTTAAAAGAGGTACATATACTGTCACTCATGACGGGACCTGACTATTTTTGTCGATTATAGAGTTTTCTCACTTATCCAGTTTTCGCTTATCCAGGTTCGACTTATTTTACTGTAATAGATCTGGCATCTGGCTTTCACCAGATCGAAATGAAAAAACACGATATTGAAAGAAACGCATTTAATACCGAAACAGACCATGTCGAACTTTTACGCATGCCATTTGGCTTGAGAAATTACATTACAAAAACATTACGAAAGATTAGCTAAGGTTTTGAAAAAATTAAGACATTCTAATTTAAAAATAGAATCCAGTAAATGTTACTTTCTGCGAAAGAAAGTTCATTTCCTTGGACATGTATTGACGGAAGATAGTATTAAACCCGATTCATTAAAACTTAAATAGGTAACTAATTTTCCACAACCTGGTAACGAAAAAAAGCGAAAGTACTTTTTAGGCCTACTCGGCTTTTATAGAAAATTTGTGTCAAATTTTGCAAAATTAACTAAACCTTTAACTTGACTTCGCAAAAAGAATAATAATTTTGACTTCAATAAGGAATGTTAAGAATACTTTAAAAACTGTAAGAATATTATCACTTCCGATAACATCCTCGCTTATCTAAATTTCGACAAAGCCTTTATTCTTATTGAGCCTGGGTTGCTCCGTTCTGGGGTTATTTCACGTTTCTTAGAAAATTTGACGTTTGCAGTATTTGGCGTCATTTTAAGTATTTCTGAAACGAAAGGTCTTGAAGGGTTACGGTTTTCACATTCCATTTATGGAAGAAATTACCTATCATCTACAGGTATTAGATAGACACATACATCATAAATAGTTTTTTATTTATCGATGCCAATATTCATAAATTCAAACAGGTATATATATTTTTTTTGATGGAATGTCTGATTTTTTCTTGCATAGTATAATGCAAAATTAAATTTCATTTCGACTGATATATACATACCTGTGACCACTACTTTTTGAGAAATTTGCAACTTTTTTGAAATTTTCAATATTATCACGTTATCACGTTAGCTGTTTTAAAAAGTTTGGCGGGTTTGTTTTGTTTTTTGATTTTCAGTTTAGGTAGTAATTGTTGAGTAAGCCTGTAGAAGTAGATGCAAAAGTTTTGAAGTCAAACTACCAAATTAACTATGAAATTATTAATAATATTTATAAATTAAACAACTGTAAAACAATCATTAATAAAATTAAATTAAATGTTCTAAATGACCACCAGTCTCACGATAGCAAAAGTGCATCCGATTCAACGAGAACTCATTCATATTCATTAGCACATTTTCACTGACAGTATAAAACGCATTTCGAACTCGTTCCATCATGTCATAAGGAGTAGTTGGTGATTCCTTATTAACTAAATAATTAATGTAAATCTGTAAAAAGAAATCTGCTTTTGTTAGGCCTAGAGATCGCGCTGACCATGGTATTCCTCCCATAATTCGCGGGTGCTCCAATATGCTGGTACCACATCTGTTGTCTAAGATAAGTGGCAAATTCTTTAACATTTCCGTAAATCATTTTGAAGTGAATGCAGATATGTATTTCCGTCTAAAGTCCCGTGAAAAGAAATATGGTCCAATTATATAAAGAGTGGAGCTTATAATCAATAATATTTAAACTACAGGTTTCTAGTAGCATTCAAAATGTTATAACACTTTTGACCTTTGAAGCAAAAATATTGTTAAAAAAATTATGATAGATATGAGTAATACCGATTGCACAAAAATTCACGGTCAGTAGGTCGATGTCCCTTGTTTGCGTTAGATAATTATTATTTGAGTGTTTGTTTCCTGTTTATTTAAAGTAATGTTACTGAAGTGTCATTTACGTTTTGTTGAAAGTGAAAGAAAATGTTATAAAAAGTACGTAACGAAACAAAATTTGAGCACCTATTTGCAAAATCAAAATCATTGTTTATTAACGTATTGACATTGAAATTACTCAGTTATAAACTGTATGACTAAAGCGGATTGAAAATTAATAATTTCATTCATTTAAATGCATTAAAATATATTTTACCTTCATGGAGTTAAGATATGGCGTTAAGTAACCGTGCAGCCGAAGAAAATGCACTCACGGCATGTCGGCTTGTTTGAAAGGGCAAATGGGTATTTCCAACGCTTTTAGTATAATTAAAGGTATTCGCAGTATCTGGGACAAAAGCTAACGGTGGACAAGTACAATTTTTTTTTAACTTCGACTTTTTACAAAAGAAGTGGATTCGGTCTGTTATTGGTAAGTATACAAATAGCTGGACTATGAGATGATCGTATGTACGTATAGGAACCAAGCTCCACAGCAAGGGCTAGTCAATTAAATACAGGCTCACATTCAAACGAATTATAGGTTCAAATTTACGAAGACGATTTGCGTAATTAATTGTCATTGGATTGCAAAATGTTGTTACACTTTTTTGTTGTATTTTGATTCAGGGACCCATGGTTTTTTTATTGTAAACGCCACACCCCCCTATGTGGTCCAATAATGCCACCCCATACATTCAAAGACCACCAGTGCTGATTATCCACAGGTCTCAACCAATGGCGATTCTCGGTGTTATAATAATGGCAATTGTGTCTTGAAACAAAACCGTTCTTGTGAAAAGAGCATATGTCCGTAAATAGTACATTATCAAAAAAAATATTCCGTTGTTGAGGTCTATGGAACGTCAATTCCCAAAACTGCAAATGATTGTTGAAGTCATTTTGGTCTAGTTTCTGGACCAATTTGAACGTGGTACGGATAAAATATATTTTTCCGAAACATTCTTGATTTAAATGTTTAATTTATTTTTTATTTGTAATTTTCGACTTATTTTCATAGGGATCTTGTATAACAGCAGCAGTTACCAAAACTTGATTTTCATGGCGAGTTACTGATTTTATGCGCTTTTTGTTCTTGTAGTTTACACAGTCAGTTCGTTCAAACCACTCTTTTAAAGTTGCAAATGCCACTGAATTTGGATGTCTATGGTAAAGTGATACGCATACATTCTCAAAGCAAGTAATAGATTTTCTTCTGAATTACCCAAACTATAAAACATATCTACTAATTCTTCTTTTGAAACTACTGTAACTTGTTTAATTTATAAATACTAATATTATTTTCACAGCTAATTAGGTAACCCTTAGTCAATAATAAATTAATAAACTGCCATTTCTTCGAAATAACAAAACAAACTCGACAAACTTTTTAAAACGGCTAACGTGATAACGAGATACTGAAAAATTCAAAAAAATGGTAAATTTCTCAAAAACTAAGAAAATTTAATTTTGTATTATACTGTGTGAAAAAAAATATGGCATTCACTTAAAAAACTTAAAAATAAAAGTTATACCTATTTGAAATTGTAAATATTATACTATGTATTTACAGTGCCTCTAGATGATAGGCAATTTCTTCAAGAAAATGAATGTGAAAACCGCAACCCTCTAAGTTCTTTCGATTCTGAGATATTTAAAACGGTGCACACAGGTGGATTTTTAAAAATTCTCGGCCAAAACTCTAATGTACGAAGTCAGCCATGATGGTCATGTGACTTAATTTTTTGAAACTTATTGGTTCCTTGCAAAGCTTTCATTGCTATCAACTATTATAAAGTATCGAATTCTAAATATCAATTAATTGTTGACTAAAACTAAGGTTATTTANTATATAAAGTAAAAAGCTGTTTAGGTGTTAAGGATGATTTGAGAGATGGTCCAAAACAATTATTATCTAAGTTTATATTCGAATATTACCAGAAGCGGGCTTCTGCTGGAAGAAGCAATGTCTATTTTAATAGAATAGAATCTAATTGGCTTAGAAATGGTATCTGTCTTGTTGTGAAAAGATATGCTTCAAAACGAGTTGGTGGAAGACCTTCTAAAAGGCATCAATAATGAAAAATTTAAAAATCTTGTATATAAAGTAAAAAGCTGTTTAGGTGTTAAGGATGATTTGAGAGATGGTTCAAAACAATTATTATCTAAGTTTATATTCGAATATTACCAGAAGCGGGCTTCTGCTGGAAGAAGCAATGTCTATTTTAATACAATAGAATCTAATTGGCTTAGAAATGGTATCTGTCTTGTTGTGAAAAGATATGCTTCAAAACGAGTTGGTGGAAGACCTTCTAATAATTACTACTTTTTCAATTTTGGGATATCTCAACACACGTGGATCCATCTATTTGAATGTTTGATATACTTCGAAGAAACATTACATGAAAGATTTTAAAATAAATGAATATCAAAAAGAATTAAAGTTTTTTTTAGATATGTAAAAATAAATAAAAGATAAAAAATATAACAAACTTCTGAATTGGAGTTAAATAAAGCTGTAGTTTAATTTATTAATGTTTTTTTATCGATTCTTTAAGCTTTTCAGACTTTCGTTTCAATCTAAGTTTTGACCAAAAATTTAAGAAAATCCGCCTGTGTGCGGCGTCAAACACTGCAAACGTCAAATTTTTCAAGAATCGTGAAATAACTCCACAAAGGTGCGATCTAGGTCCAATAAATGTTAATAAACTCCCTCTAATGATTCACGATGGCGTACACTTAGAAAACATAGTCATACTACTTTATTTTTTTAAGTAATTAAATTAAAATAGCGATCTCTTTAATGAACTAATAATTAATTGAATGTAAACAATGGAATTCCAAAGAGCAAAAACGAAGATTAAAGTCTAGGTGCTCGAACCGACAATTCAAGAATAGTCACAATTAATGAATGATAATTAAATTATTATAAAAAAGCATCAAGTATGTTAGTACATATGTATGTATATACGTATGCATGTATGATAATAAAACCCAAAATTTTACATAAGCTTAAAAGGCTGGAGCTGGCCTTAACTGGGAATGACACCTTGAGTGTCTAAAGCTTTTAAACGTTTTTATATGAAATTTTGGGTTTATTTGGTTCAGTACTACAAAACGTCATTTAATTTTATTGATTTATACAGTAAAAACAAAACTACTTCTTACAAAAATAGACTGAAAATTAAACTGATAATACAAACGTAAATATTTTATAATATTCGAATTTTGCCTAATTATGCTATGGCACATCACCTTTTCATATCTTTCCACCATTCTGAATGTCCGTTAGCCTTTTTTATGGCTTCATATATATCTAGTGATTCTCCAAATGGAATTCCATAACCTTTCTGAAGTCCATGGGGATTTGATGGCGTTCTACAATCTTGTTTTGAATCTTTTCTTAATACTGAATCCACCTCAACAGAGGAGAAAAAGGCAACTGATTGGGGTAAATCATCTATGCCTAATTTCAATGAACAAAACGCTCTGGTTAAAAGATTTGTAACATGCATAGCTAAAGCTGCTTTGTATTGGTAATTTTCTTTTACCAAGTACCTCACTTCATCATGAAAACTCAAACAAAATCGTGCTTTATCGTTCATAAGCCAACGCATGCAAACTAACATCAAATGTAAAAAGTCAACTGCGCCACTTTGAACAATCCAGTTAATTCTAGTTGGTAAAAATTGATCACCAACACATAATTTCGGTTCAAGAGCACGACTCAATCTACAGTTAAGAAATGGGGTAGTAGGTTGAGGGTCATTTGCAATCTCCTCTAAACGGTTAAACATGGCAGATTCTGTGCCTCCTACCCACTTAGGTTTGTAGAACATTTCATCTAAAGTTCTATTATGAATTTTTGCCAACTCTTGGGCTTCCCAACGCCCGTACAATTTATCTGGTAATTCTAATAAATGCTCTTTTTTTAATCTATAAACCCTTTTTCCTTTAGTTAAATTAAACATTTTAATTGCTTTGCTTCGTGCATCAAGTTTTGACATAGTTGGATTAAACTGTTTTATGAGTTGTTCTGCAAAATTTTGACCAGCTCCATAAATTCTAGCGTAATTAATAATTTTTGCTTGATCCCGAGAAATTCCAGAAGCTTTAGCGGTTACGCTATGCATATCAGTTCCATCGGCCTTATTACCACTAATTGTCATATAACCGAAAGGTGTAGCACCATGGAGTTTTGCACAATGTGCATCTCCTAATATGGAAGCAATCCAGAGTTCTTGAGAATCAACATCTGCGCCTACTATTTTATAACCCTTTGGAGCCTGCACCATTGAGCGCAATTCCGAACCAATTCTGTCTAGATAAACATTAGAAGCTGTCATCCAAGTAGGTTCAACAGCTCTTCGAGTTAAAGTTCCACAAACAACTATTTGCGGTATTATCGCACCATACTTCTTTTCATCATTTTTCAGTTGTGGGGGTAAAAATTTTCGTTCTAGCCATACTACCATTTGTTCTATAATTCTTGCTTTATTGTTTTTCCAATAAGACAATTGATTTGAAATAGAAACAACCTTTTGTGCTACTTCTGTATCTCCAGATAAAACATTCTCATAAAATTTACTCAGAAAATCTTTAGCTAGAGGATTTCCAACTCTATGCGATGATCCATCCTTATGGGGCAATTTTATAAACCAACAACAATCATCAAGAACCATGTTGCATTGTATACCAGAGCCACTATATGTATTACATATTTTATTTTGTTTTAAGGATTTGTAATAATTACATGATATTTTTCTATCAACTTCTTGGCATATATCAATTGAAATATGTTTCGCCTTATTGTTCTTTAAAGAAAGGGGGCATTTATTAACAAGTTTTTCCAAAGGAATTTTTCCAACTGGATTCATTTCATAAGAGAAAGGTACTAAAAAACCCCAACCCAATTCTTTTATAAAATGTAATGGATAACCTTCCCACGTTAAACACAACAATTTTGGTGTAATTTGCATTGAGGTACTAATTAACTGGGGGCCTGGAGTCCAAGTAGCAGACAAATCTGGTTTAGTGCACAGTTTTCTATACCACTTTGGATAACCAGGAAGTACGGATTTTACAGCTGGCAATAATTCAACCTTTTTCTCTAAATAAGCAAATTTTGTCTTTAAACATGTCAATTCCTCGTCCTCATTCTCTTCTACATCTTTTGCATCTTTTAAATCCATACTAACAAATGTATTATCTTTCAACCTGTCAACCTGTCTGTCAACCTTCAGATTTCGTGTTTTTTTCAATGTTAACTCCTTAACTGACCAATCCTGATCCCACATCCAAAGATCATTCTTGTACTGTTCCATATGAAACAACTGACATGCTTCATCTGCTCTTTTAGCCAGCAACATATTATTTTCAATGTGCAAGTCTTCGTAGGTTTGTTCAGAGTCAGCAATGTACCTTTCCCATGTATCATTAACAGGTAAATAAGCAGTACTTAATTCAATCATTCCTGCAAATGTAACAGGATGAGGAAACCTCTCTAAAAACATTGGGTACAGAACTTTAAACACATTATATGTTGCCAAAACATCCTTGGCACAGTACGTAATTACTTTATCGAATTGTTTTTGGATGTCATACAGAGATCCACTAACAAATAAATCTCTTGTTTCTTTTTCAACTGATGTCCCACAGTACAGTTTATGAACTTCCCTTAAACTATTTAAAGAAGTGTAATTTTTCCATTCACTATCTTCTAATTTTAATTTCTCAGATTTAAGAATGGCTCTTTGAGAACTAGTTAATCCACTAACCGAAATATGTAAAGACATTGTATCCAAAAATCTCATATCTGTTTGTTTTAAGTAATACTGTTCTTTAATTCTTGCACGATCATATGAAACATTATGACCTATAATTATTCTGGCTTGTTTTTTATGGTTACTCAGCCACACATCAGTTTCCATTGGAATAAGATCACTCAAAGAAAGCTGAGTACTTTTAATTGGTTTCTCAACATTCTCAGTTAATACTTCATTTACCCATGCATACCATGCCTTGTCACTTACAGCAGTTGCCAATGTAGGTAATTTTCCAGCTTTAACACATACTTCAACATCAAAAACAAATACATTTTCTAAAGGATATGGTACACATTCAGGCTTACTATCTTTGTAGTATCTTATCCATCCAGGCTTCATAAGCCATTTTCTTGGCATTGGAGGAATTGAAATCAAAAGCTGATCCAAAAGAACTTTATATGGCTTTGCCTGTTCTTCTCCAATTAAGTAAAAATGTTCAATTAAATCTTTTCCTTTCAAAGGAGGTAATTTAAAATCAACATCTGCCAGGTTGTTACAATTAAAATTTTGCAACAATCCGTGAGCCCTTAGTGTATTTAAACAATGATCAATTACAGATCTATCTGCTAAATATTTGTTGTTATTCTTAAAAATTTGTTTGTAAATAGAGCGAGACAACATCTGTATATTAAATTCATTTGTTTTCATTGATTGATCTTGAATATCATGTCCATTATCACTGGCCATTTGATTATTAAGTTTCTTTGTTTTTGTAGGATCGGGTAAATAAATTTTTTTAATGTGCCTTGGTAAAATTTCCTTTTTGTAGCTAGAATAACATGCCCACTTCGAACGGAAAAATATTACCGAAGATTTTTGTTTTCCTTTTAACATTATTAAAATCTGCACAATACATGTATTATAATTGAATGAAACTGAAATATTACTTATATATTACAGATATTTTACCTTTAACATGCGAATACGAAGTGATTATTACACCACTAACGATTTGTCGATTTTAACTCTCTCTGAAAGTGAAAAATTTGAAAATTAACTTCCTTCAAACGCCAACTGCTTCAAGGTTCAAACTATTTACAATGTTAAAAAATATACAGCCAACAGACTATTTTTATTTACACTTTTCTAAATTTTTGTTTTGTGAACTTTTTCACTACACCAACACATAGACACTGAGGATGAGGAGTATAGACAAACTCATAGGATAAACTGAAAGGTGATGAATAAAATAATGTTGAGTGGTGAGTCATGTGAATCCGGCACCCGATATACATAATCTGTTGATTCAAACCTTATCCATAAATAGTACGTCATTTGCGGGTTCTAAATATGTATGTAGAATAATCGTGCGTCCATTAGTTAGGTTAAAAAAAAAAGGAAAATTATTTCGGCCGCAAATGGTTTAATGTCAATTTATTCAAAAACTGCTTCGCGAGACAAAACGTTGTAAAACGTGTCGTTTCATGGCCTTGAGATTTTACTCTCATCGAGCCCAAAGAAATTTCACTTCAGTGAAATAGTTTTTATTTGTTAACTTCATATTCAATATTGAAATGGTTAATAAATAAAAAAAAAATTACCAACAATAATTAATAAATCGACAACGATTATATGACCGGTAAAATGTTTAATATATATATATATATTGACTTAATTCACACAGCTGAACAATTGACAGTTATGTTATGTCTGGTTAGGTTTAGAATTTAAATTTTATTATTAACTAGCGACCCCCCAGCTTCGCAAGGGTGCATTGCTGATACTTAATATTCTACTGAATGTCTTTATATACAACATGTACAGCTTTTTTGTCATTAAATAATACAAACCGGGCCCCGTAATCTGTAATATCTTCGAAAATAGGTATTTATTTAAATTACATGCTGCAAAGAGCCTTATTGATCTATATTAAATGCACAATATATTTAAAAGTACTTGATTGGATAAGGATTAATGCGGTATTGCTTAAAATCAATTCGTAAGTAAGCCATTATTTCTTATAAAAAGTAAAGGATAAAAAATGGTTATTGTGGGTTATCCCTAAGAGATAGACATATACCATCGCGGACTTTTTTGTAGACCTTTTTAAGATGTACAATACTGTGGTACATTATTTTGATCTATCTCGTAGGGTTTAGCCAGCGTTTGCAATGTAAGCGCAAAATAATGTGTTTATTTACGACATCACATTAGAAACCTCTTAAATTATCAGTGTTTCTCTACTATATTATGCATGTATTACACATATAAACCTTCCTCTTGAATCACTCTATCTATTAAAAAAACCGCATTAAAATCTGTTGCGTAGTTTTAAAAATCTAAGCATACATAGGGACAGACAGCGGGAAGCGACTTTGTTTTATACTATATTGGGATTGGGATATTGTGGAAAATTCTGTTCATGTCCATAATCATATTTCATTATTGCATTTCTAACTTGTATGTGTCGGTAGTGCTCGAATCACGGTAACGGTCAGGAACGTATTATAATTGATAGTTCAATGATTATTAGTCCTTCGACAGTATCATAGCAGTATATACTTCTTTAATCAATGTCCATCTATATCTATGGTAGTTACATATCTGGTATCTTTTTTGTTCGTTAGAGCCTATGGTTAGAGCTATTATCTATGGTTGGGCATAGACGTATGATAGACGTCAAATAATTTATTAATATTGCAGGCATTCCATTTACTAAACTAATTAATTATTATATTATTTTCGCTTTCGTAGTGATTTTCCCAAGAATGAATAAGTATGGTAAGATTTAAAAGTTTAGTTTCGCCATTTTTTATGTTTTGATTAGGTAGATTTTATTGTTAACGTGTAATAAATGATTGTACTATTCTAAAAAATAACTAAATTGCTAATTTGTTTGAAGTTTGTATTTTAAACCGTTTTTTACTTTTCCAATGATTTTTTAAAGGGAATAATAGTTACTTATTTTTCAAATTTACAATTTCTGTTAGCTAGGAGTAGAAGTTGTCGAACGATTCCAAATAGTTGTTTTTATAATAAAGTAAAATTGGTTGGAAAATGGTCTAACTTATGATTTGATTTAAACAATTTCTTTTCTTTTATAAACTCAATTTATTTATTTGGTATTTAGAATCATTAGATCAATACTGTTAAACAAGAGATACAGTGATTTGACCATTTGTACATCAGAAAATGGCTCTTCCCTCAAATTATAAACAAGCAGCAGTGTCAATGTCTGGACCTCAAACTCCAAATCGTAAGAACTTTAAAAGTTAAAAAATTATCCATTTTGTTATGCTTGTGAATGATTATTTTAGATATAATTTTACATCTTTTTCATGAAGTTTATTTTAACAATGTATTTTTCAGTAGCTTGCACGGCATGAATTTATAATAAAAACAAAATAAATTCTATTATCAATTAACCATTGCAGTTTCAAGTACTTATATTGCCTCAGATTAATTACATATAGTTTTATTATTATTAGAGTGCATGCTAAAAAAAGCTGGTAATTGGTAATATACTGTTTTCTTTTTTATAGACAGATCTTAAAGATGTAATGAAGCATAGAATTTGTTTTATTTAGATCTGAATTATTCATTTTTACATGATATTTTATGTTTATAATATACCTGTATTATGGATATTTGTAACCTTATAGACACTAATGCAATTGATTATTTGACTACTTCATCAGTGGCTATATGAGATTTATTTTAATCAGCATGAAATAAGTAAAATTAAAGTTATGGCATACCTTGGTTTGTAATAATCTCTATGAATGTAAACATTTGCACTACATTTGAAAGTTGATTATTTCAAATTACAAACTATGGATCTTTTGTAGACTACTAGTGCTCATGATTGGCTTTGTTTGTGTTTGTTGTTCAAATTTACTGTCCACAGGTTCCCCAATGACCTTCAACATACTCAAAGGTAATGCAACTTTTTTGTTTTATAAAGTGTTTTAGGCAGTTTTGTTTGGCTTATAATCTTAGCATTTTTCTTAGTAGAAAGTTTAAAAAATTGGTGTTTACAATACATTTTGAAATTAAAATTGAAGGAGATAGTATACAACTTAATTGTTATTTTGAGTACTACGCTTTAAATGAACATACCTTTGTAATGTCTGGGCTCACAGAGTTTAATAATTCAAATTTTTGCTTTCATAAATGTTGACCATTTTATTATTTTCTGTCTTAGAAAGACTTCGTGCCTCAGGAGGATCTAGTACNGTGCTTTGCACAGGCATATACGGCGACATATTACAAACTTGTGTATTTGACAATTTTTTATATGCAGAAAATAAAATTTTCAAAAAGTGATACTCTCCAACCTCTTACATGAAAGATTCTACAAATTAATCAAGATTTATTGTGTAATTAGTAAAAAATTCATCAATGTTTTTTTTTTACTTATGCATTAACTTTTAAATCCTTCCTTTCATACAAGTAGTTTAGAGAATTGAATTCAAGATATTTATACTGATAGCGCAGAAAAAATGCCTTAATTTTTTTGAAATTATTTTTTTCTTTCAGAAAAATTTGAAAGCCAGCAAGAAAAGGACAAGAAAGATGGGGAATAGAATGAAACAAACCCTTTTGTTGCAACACCTAGTGGAAATCCTGGATTTTTGCCTCAGAAAATTGGAAAAAGTAGTTCTGTAAGTTGATTTTATTTGTGTACAGTATTGGATAAGGGAATGAATAAATTAACATTTTAAGAACGATGCCAAAACACCCAAACCCCCTAAAGCACCGGAAAAACCTCTTATGCCGTATATGAGGTATAGTCGTAAAGTGTGGGATACTGTAAAAGCACAAAACCCAGAATTGAAATTATGGGAAATCGGAAAAATAATTGGCCAAATGTGGCGAGATCTACCAGAAAGTGAAAAGCAAGAATTTGTAGAAGAATATGAAACAGAAAAGGTAATACTATTTAGCAATCATATTTTTGTGTATTATGTTAGTTGTTATATATCATTTGTAATAAGTAATTAATATGAACAGATTGAGTATGAAAAAACACTGAAGACATATCATAATTCACCTGCTTATTTGGCATATATTGCTGCTAAAAATAGAGGAAAATCTTGTAAGTACAATTGATCTGCAGTAATAATAGTAGGTACAGGTAAATGTTTGCAGTCACTCAAGGAAGTGATGAAAGGGATACTCATGAACGTAGCAGTGGTTCATCCAAGCAAGCAGCAGCTGATAGAAGAATCGAGATTCAACCAGCAGAAGATGAGGACGGTATGTTTTGTATTGTATTGCTTATTAAAAGCATACAAAATTCATTAAATCTGTTTTAGATCAGGATGATGGATACTCGGTGAAACATGTTGCTTATGCTCGATATATACGTAATCATAGATTAATCAACGATATCTTCTCGGATAGTGTGGTTCCTGATGTTCGCTCAGTGGTGACGACATCTCGTATGCAAGTACTTAAACGTCAAGTTCAATCCCTCACAATGCATCAAAAAAAACTTGAGGCAGAATTACAACAGATAGAGGAAAAATTTGAAGCAAAAAAAAGAAAATTTGTAGAAAGCAGTGAACAGTTTCAAGAAGAATTAAAGAAGGTAGAAACTGTATATGCAGATAATTTTATTAATTAAGTGACCTGTTTAAAAACAAAATGGCACTTATAAGAGCGGTAAAAATGAATATGCAGCAGACCCCATAGAAACCCATTAGTCATAGATACACTTAAGTATGAAATGTTCTCCACGTCACTTTATTTCTGCAATTAACAATAGATGCTCTTGTTTAAAAAATTAACTTGATTTTAAAATGATCTTGAAGGTCATTCTTATTGTCAGATTTTAATTTCTGATGATAGGTAATAAATAAAATAACTTAAATTGAGGAGATGTATATTTATTATTTAATGATCGTCAAAACGGTTGGTATATCAGAACGATTGCTTGCTTATTGCATATTGTTTTACTGGAAGTAATTTTGTTGATTTCAATTATGACAAGAATCTTTCTGTTAATAATTTATACATAAAAGTCTACGACGCGATTTGTGTATGGATTACGCAAAGTCCAGGGTCAACATTTCTCGTACAAAATAATTATGATTTGTTTCTTTACAGCATTGTAAACCTGCTGTTGACGACGATACTTTTCAAAAAATGGTGGAACGGCAATATGATATTTTAAGAAAGGAACGAATCAAAGTATTAGAAGAGCATAAACCAAAAACAGAAATTGTTTCTTCAGAACAGCAATTACTACAGAATAATGATGTTAATCGAGAAACTGATTTTAAACAGAAAACTCATCAACATGTAAGTATATAAAGTTTATAAAGACAAGGTGTTTTTTTTAATACTTTTATTTCAGGAGCAAACAAGTGTAGAGCAAACAAAAGAAATTAGATCAAGCTTTCAAGTTGAACATGTAACAAACGGAATTGGTTCGCAAGAAGCAAAGCTTATGGAAACATCTGCTTCTAGAAATGAATATGGCTCTCACTCATCAGTATTGTCTTCAAATAATCAGCATGCACAACAAGATCAGCAAACAACTTCTCATATGTCTTTGCAATCTTCTCAGCAGCAATCTCAGCAAGTACAAAGTAATGAACAACCACCACCTTCTGTTTTGCATCATTCACAACCATCTAATCAATCACTTCAGTCTCAATCTCATCAACTTCCACATCAGCAACAAGCCCCTCAACCTGTTTCTCACATTGGGTCTGTAACTCATCATTCTTCTTCCCTTCCAACCCACACCCAATCACCACAACATAGTATCAATGCTGCTCAAACACCGACAGCACATCACCACCCAGGACCGGGCGGGATTCCGCCTCAAAATACCCAACCTACTTCAGGAAATATTTTGCCGCCTCCTCCAATCGGCCATAATATGCCTTCTCATATGACACCTCCTGTACACAGTATGCCGCATTCTACAGGTCCTTCACCTCCTAATCAATCTCCAACTATAATGCCATATCAGCAATATCCTAGTAATAATCCGCAGTCCGTTCCGTTGCCACCAAGACCACCACATCATACCTACAGTTATTCTCAACAACAGGGATATCATCAAGGTTATCCTCAATATTCTCCTCATCCATACTATCAGCCCTACCCACAGTATCCACCTCACATGGGGCGACCACATCCATATTCGCATTCAGCTCCGATGGATGGACAACATCCACCAGCCTCAACTATTAGCGAGGTGCATCCTCTGCCCTTGTATGGGCCACCACCAGGTACAGACAATGAAAGAAGTATTGCAGAGGACATTGGTTCCGGCAGTGGACATCAGCATTGTGAGAGTATTCAAGGAGCTCAAATAGATGAGAGTAAGAAGTTTTCTGCTTATTTACATTATGACAAAATGAAATGAAGGTGCTTTGCACAGGCATATACGGCGACATATTACAAACTTGTGTATTTGACAATTTTTTATATGCAGAAAATAAAATTTTCAAAAAGTGATACTCTCCAACCTCTTACATGAAAGATTCTACAAATTAATCAAGATTTATTGTGTAATTAGTAAAAAANATCATCAAGGTTATCCTCAATATTCTCCTCTTCCATACTATCAGCCCTACCCACAGTATCCACCTCACATGGGGCGATCACATCCATATTCGCATTCAGCTCCGATGGATGGACAACATCCACCAGCCTCAACTATTAGCGAGGTGCATCCTCTGCCCTTGTATGGGCCACCACCAGGTACAGACAATGAAAGAAATATTGCAGAGGACATTGGTTCCGGCAGTGGACATCAGCATTGTGAGAGTATTCAAGGAGCTCAAATAGATGAGAAAAAATTTGAAAGCCAGCAAGAAAAGGACAAGAAAGATGGGGAATAAGTAGCAGATAAGTAATGTTTGTTTTGTGTAAGTATAAATAAAATATTATTCAGTAATGGATTTCTTGTGGCAATAAATAATCTGTACACAAGAATTGTACACACCAAAATTTTAAACGACCTCATTTCAGTGTAGACTTTGCAAATATATTACAGTAGGTTTATTATTTTATTTAATGCTTCAACGGCTAAATTAGTGTCTGAAAGACAATATGATTAATTTTATTGTTTGTAAGTTGCGCTACTTCTATTGTAATAACGTGGAAATTGCTTGTCCTCTCATTTTTTCTTTCATTAATTTTAAGGCGATTTCACTGTATTGAAGGGTGTTTTTAAAAATATCAAATAAAACATGTTCTGGTGTGGCTTTAGATATAAATACAATTTCTACGAAAAATAATTAAAAATAATAAATGGTTTTTTGAATTTCATTAAAATTTCACTGCGTGACAGTATGCTCCAACAAGGTCCACTTGTATGGATATCTACTTGCTGAAAACGAATCCCGGCGTAACCAACTTTAACGTGATAGGCACGGTACCATAATCGAATAAAATAATTCGAGGTGGTCTGTATTTGTACCTACTTTTGACATCAATTTTACATTTCGGAGTACAGCCCTGATAGTTTTCTGCTCAACTTAGTAACTATTTCATAAGGCGCACCCCATATTTTATTGTACAACTTTTTCGGAATTATGGCCCAATCGTGTAAACAACCACAAGCTTTGACTCACAATCAGTAATAACAGTATTTCAAGTTGCTACTTTACAGTTTAACGTCCAAGTTGTTTGTCCAATTCGCCGAGGCATTAGCCTTTATAAACTGCCATGAGCAGTATAGAGCCTTTTTCGTTTATTTTTCAAATGAAGCATTGAAAGCGGTGTATTGGTTTTTTCCTACGTATACTTATATTTATGCGCAACGAAATAGCTCTGTCGACCCTGAAATTCCGCAAGAACGACGATCTTGCAGAAGAAAAAACAAATAGAAAGTTACTTTTTTAACGAAAAAACTACGAAGAATTTTAGAAGCAACAGTTCAATACCAAAAACATATTTCGAAAAGAGAAATTTAGTGCATATCTGAATAGAACACTTATTACAGACAGGAAAATGTTAAATCAAAAATTCATTCAAAGTAAAATTTTTTATTTCTTTTTACTCTAGATATTTTAACAGCAGAATTTAAAAGCCAAAACCGAACTTCAACAGAATATTAAAAATTGTTTTAACTTGAATAGAAGTCTGTAAAATTCTAACTGTAGAAAATTCTTTTTCGATTACATGCCTTCAAAACAAAAAAAAACGTTAACTGAAGGTTTATAAAGAATATTATTTTGCATGCACTTTATTAATTTTTATTTTTCAGCTTAATATTATTAATTTCGTTTCAATCTTAAAACTATTCACTCAACGAGTGAAAGGTTTAAAATTAATTTAAAATTCCGATTCGGGCAGTTATGTTCGAGTTAAGGGAAATTTTTGCTTTACTATCACACCTTTTTAATTTTTGTTTCGAATACATCGCAATCTCAATTCATGATCATAACGTAATCGTCCTTTTATTTAAACGAATAAAATCATTCGAAGTAGTCTGTATTCTGTTGAAAGTGCCAGACGCGAATCGCGATCGATCTTTTTAGATCTCATCAGTGCATCGCGGATGGTTTCGACAAAACACAGACCAACTTTTACCTAATGTCTTAACAGCGCGTTTTAGAAAATACTACAAATGGCGCGGTAAACGTCATCTGTAGTACATTGCTACATTTTAGTCTGGCAGTTTCAACAGAATACAGACCACTTCGAATATTTTATTCGATTATAGTAACGTGGCTATCACGTAGAGGTTAGCTACGCCGGGATTCGTTTCAGCAAGTAGATATCCATATATTTAAATGGACCTTGTTGGAGCATACGTAATCCTAAAATGTAGCATCGTANCAATTTCTACGAAAAATAATTAAAAATAATAAATGGTTTTAAACTTAAAATATCTTAATATTAATAGCAATATTTAAAAACAAATGTTCAGTCAACCGACACAAGGGCGATTCTTTTGTAGTGACGTTTTTAGTCAATTGGGAAGCAATATGTTGTCCATTTTGAAAAACACAAATTGTCTCCAAACAGTTATTCATTTCAAACGTAAGTACTTTTCATCCTGTCTACATGGTGTCGATGGAGATAGCTTCCCACACATTCCGGGGTATACGGGGGCGCTATTGTGCGGCTTGTTGGCGCCTCGTCTTTGCGCAGGCGCAGAGACGGCAAATTTGAACATATTGTCGAACATCCTTCCCTAAATAAGGCCAATATAATTATTCCCTTATCTTCAAGAAGGTCTCGTCCCGTCCAGGGTGTCTGGCGTCTATTGCATCGGGGTAATGGTACATGACGTGTCCCCGTAAATTGGCAGGCACGAATAGGAGTCATCTCTGCCCGATCTTCTTATACAGGAGATTGTTTTCCACCGTATAAAGTGCGAGGAATCTTGCCTGGCCGAGATTCTGCGCTCCAGCACATTGGACACGGCTCCAATGGTCCACAGCGGCTTGCGTTTCGGGATCTTGAGTTTGAGCAGTCTCAATTCGTTCCGTTAATGTCTGGAGCTCGAACTGATTTACTGTAAGGATAGCTTCTAGGGACTCTTAACGCGTGGGCCGACACGTTTTACTCGTTTCATTGGGAGCTGCGTTGTTCAGATGTTGTTTGGTGAGTGTTGTAAACAAAAGGGGATTCGAAATAAGGAGGGGAAGACTAAAATGTTTGGAGGACTATAGTAAACAAAAGGAGGTGCAAAATAACAGGAGGGGAAGATTTTTAAAAGTTTAGGAAAATTTGGTAAACAAAAGGGTATACGAAACAAAGAAACGCTAAAAAATTTAAGGGGAATGTGGTAAACAAAAGAAGCTACGAAATAAGGAGGCGAAGACTTAGAAAGCTTAGGGTAATGTAGTAAACAGTAGGAGGTACGAAATAACGAATGGGGGAAGGTTCAAAACGTGTAGGAGAATGGGATAAATAAAAGAAGATATGAAAAAACAATAGAGGAAGGTTCAAAATAGTGTACGGGAAAGTGATAAATAAAAGGAGATGCGAAATAACAAAAGCAGAAGCCTTAAAAAGTACAGCGGAATGTTGTATATAGAAGGAACTACAAAAGAACTGTAGGACACTAAAAAAGTATAGGGAATGTGGTAAACAAAAGGAAGTACTAAATAACGAGAGGGGGACGCTTAAAAAGTATAGCGGAATGCGCTAAACAAAAGGAACTACGAAATAACAGTAAGGGAAGACTTAAAAAGTATGGGGGAATGTAGTAAAGAAAAGGAACTACTAAATAACAGGAGGGGACACTTAAAAAGTATAGGAGAATGCGGTAAAAAAGAAGCTGCGAAACAAGAGGGAAAGGCTTAAAAAGTAAAGGGGAATGTGGTGAACAAAAGGAGATACGAAATAACAAGATGGGAACACTTAAAACGTATACTAAATTCGAAATACGCGAAAGGGCTGAAGAGATTTCTATGAGAAGAGTGACAAGGGGATTTACAACCGGAATATTTGGGGAAGGAAAGGATAGTGAGATTTATAACGGGGAACGTATGTAGTGAAAGTAAATATTGGATGAAAAAAGAGGAAACAAAATGCAGAATGCAGACGTTAAAACACTTTTTATGAGAGCGTAAAAGATAATGCTAGAGAAGAATGTAGAATGTAGATAATTGATAAATGAGAATGGTAGAGAGCTAATAGTGTTACAGGAAATTTTGTGTCCTCCTTTCTTCATGGTTAAAACCACTACAGCACCACTACTAAGCTGCTCGATCCATCTACCCACCTACTGAATCTTTAAGGCAGATGATGGAAGAATCGTTACAGAAAAATCAATAAGCCATTCTACTTGATGATTTACTGCAACCTACAACAATTTAATGATTCAGTAAGCCATTTGGTTTATCAAGCAAAAGTGCTGTGTTTTACGTTAGTTTATCTAGACACATCAGCAAAAGTAAAGACCTTTGCAGGATACTGTTGTATTGGATGGGATGATATTCCAAGGGTTTTCTATCTCCTGTAGTATTTCCAAAGGTAACGTACCATGAAAGTGCTACCTACAACAATACAATATTGTATCATTGCTACAGCAACAAGCAGCCGCTAAATGAATGTAGCAGGGTAGTTAAAAGTAAACATTTACCAATGTTTCACTGTACTTGTTTCCTTCAAACTTCTGTTGAATACCATGTACTACAAAAAACTTGAGCAGCATTGGAAACTATAATTTTCTCATTATTAATAATATGTTCGTAGAGTCAACTTTCTGCACGTACTGTAGTAAATAAAGCAAAGTTATATAATAATGCAGTGCGTTAAGATTGAGCGGTACGCAAGGACACACGGACATTGGGACATAATGGGTCGGTTGCTCTCTCCCTTTCATCCCGTACCAAAAGAAAAATGCGAACATATTAGTTGTTTGCGATAAAAAGTTTTGTTCGCTAACAATTCTTATAAGTCAGAGGTCAGCAAACTTTTAAGCTGAAAACAGCATTCTCAATAAAAAATATTGTTTAATAAATTTCAAAAAGCCACGAATTTTTAATTCGGCTTTTAGTTTTTTTCAAATTTATATCGGACAATGTGGTAATTAAATAAAAGGGCCTCACATGTGCATTGCATAACTTTTATTTTTTTGTTGGGGACTTGAAGAGGCGCAATTGTCTCTAGAATGAGCCGCAGCTTGTCGACCCCTCTCATAGGAAAACCATATTAAGTAGTTTGTATTTAACCAGAAAATGGGCTATTTTTCAAGAGAAAAACACGTGAAGGTGGAAGGTTATTAGATATAACGACGAATGTAGGGACGAAGGCAGTTAGTTTTATGAAATTCAAATTACTATGTATAACATGCGTTCTTACTTCAACACCGTCGGTAAATGTTATAAATATATTATGTATATAACATACAAAAACGTATACATATATTACAAAAGATTATCAGCTATATTATATATTGTTTATACTTTCTACATACAGCAATTTTACAGTATCTTTTGCAGGTCTGTTTATACAACTAAATTGCTTGACCTTGAGTAAATATTTTCGGACCAGATTTGATAATCACAGGTGCATTTCTATTGATTCACGTCCCACTTAAGACCCCTCTATAGCGGCGTTATTCATACTTTTAGGTACAAATATTTCGCATAAAAGTCGTCTTAATTTTTATTGTGCATTTCTAAAATTATCTGTGAGTCTACAGAATGTTCAGTTTTTGCTGGCAAATACCCAACTTTCTTATTTTCAGTGGAACACCCTTCATATTATTACATATTTCAATTCTTTGATAAAATCAGACTTCTTTAAAAACTAGATATAAGAACTTTTTGAACATTTATGCGGAGAAAAGGTTGACAGTTAGAATTTATTATTTTGCACAAACATTGACTGTAACAGCTTATATATTGGTACAGGATTCCGAGATTTCCGGTGTGTTGCAGTAATAAAAATAAATTTCTCAGAAATATACAGGGTGTTGCAAATATTAATGGCATACTTAGACCACCAAGACATTGGTGGATTATACCATATCGTTCAAAAAAATGCTTGTAACTCTCAAACGACTAACTGCAGATATAGGGAATGCTTACAATGATTGATTCTGTTTTTCTTTCCGCACCGAATCAAAATAATTTCTGTAAGCGCGATCTACTGACAATTTTGCGAAATGACAATTTTCGTACTATCAATTACTACTAACACGTTAGCTTCTAAAGCATCTTACAATGACTCCTTTTAGACACATCTATTAGGGGTCATTGGTCATTGTAGTCGAAGTACCCATACCCTGAGTACAAATTAACACTAATTCTGGTGTTGTTTTGTTCAGTGTCCTTGCGATGATATCTGCTGCTTTTACATTATTCTGCATCCATTCTTGCAGTTCTTTTTTTTTGTTCGAGTTTTACCTGTTTCTGAAAGTATAGGACATTTCGATTCACCATTCAAGGTTATGCTCACGAAATATCATGTCGATGTGCCATTTCCATTTTGAGCCGGACCTTCTAGCTTATCAATTGTTAGTTTTAACTCATTGTGATTTACTGTTTCTACTTTTTCTTGTCTAGCCTCAAAATACATTCAACAATTTTATCAATAGGTATTTAGTAAATCCATTTAATATTGCGTGAAAAAAATTCAACTCTGCGTGGTCCATAACCTAATAAATTTTTTATATTGACAAAGAAAATGTGAACACCCTTAGTTAGTTTAATAATTATTTATTTAAAGAAATACAAAAGGATAACGCTACATAAAATAGCATGTCTTTTTACTAACTATGACAAGAACAAGAAGCAAACTATATTTTGTTGTACTAAAGGTGACAGAGTTCATGTAATGGTTCTAAGGGTTTTATTCCAACAAAATTTAGCTACACGCTTTTCTGATGCAAGTGAAAGAGCTTTTGTAGCGTGTATTTACTGCGGCAATGTTTGAGTTAGACTGTTCTGCGTCAAATCAGAGGTTACTACTCATAAAAACCATACAAACAATCCCAAAATTAAAATTACACGTCATTTTACGTCTGTCAAATTTCCAGTTAAATCATCTATCGATAAACATATAGATCAAGCTATGTAGATGAAGTATTTTTCTAGATAGATTCAATGATTACATTAAACTGGATTCGTAAATCATCTCACCTTAAAAGTTTTGTAGTCAACCGTACCTCAGACATTCAAACAATTACAAATTTATCAGATTGACATGTACATACATACGACAATCCGGCTGACTTTATTACGAGGTACCTTGCCTGTAGACATTATCAAGGCAGATGTATAACAAAAGGGACCAAAAGTGATCAAAGAGGTTAGCCGAGGAAAAAGACAAATGACGTCTACAAACACAACGAGTCATCGCTATTTGTTTACGCTTCAAGCCATCAAATGCTAATAAGGGTTGACCTTCTTATCCTTTTTCGTCAATTTACCAAAATTGTAAATTTTACTGTAAGAACTATACTGGTTACTCTTGTGTAAATAGAGTTACATAGTGTTGCTACGATTCTTTTACATTATATCTTATCATTAGACAATAAATCTATAATCAAACGTAAATTTAACGAAAGAATAACACCTATATTCCGGTAATTGGTAGTATTGGAACAGTAAGACAATGTAGACAGTAAATACCAAATTAGAAATAAAAGTACAAATAACTTAGATATAGGAGGAATATTAGAAACAACAGTGTGTATTAAAGCTAGATACTTAGAGAGTAATTTACAAGAAAAAGTAGGAAAAAGAAAACATAAACGCAATGAAAGAGGGGTAAAAGTAGCATCTTTTGGAATGTGGCGGATATCAGAAATATAGAGTTCGAATAGGAAAAAGTATGGAAATATGACGCAATAAATTTATCAGAAACCTGTATAGATGAAAAAGATTGGTTGAAAACAAATTGATAAACTAAAAATTTTTACTTGTTGAGGCAAGAATAGAAGTGAAAAGAGGAAAATTAAAAGGAAAAATGGTCACCGCAATTAGAAAATGTTAAATAAAGAATTAACCAGATTAAAAATAAAGACAGAGAAAGGGAAAAAAAACGTTCATAAATGTGTACATGAGAGATAAACGGAGTATTACTTGCGTAAAAGTAGAAAAAATTTTAAAGAATACTAAGGAAGGATACATAATAATGGGAGATTTTAACTCAAGCACTGCAAATAAGGGTGGAAAAGAAAATGAAATGATCACGGAAGAGGGAAGTTAATATTGTCGTGAGATAAACTAGTAATAAGGAGGCGAAACATATTACACTGAATCGGGTTTCCGATAATAGAATGTGTCTTCTGAATGGAATAAAAGGTGGTGAAGAAGGAGAATTCACATACATAGGAAGAACAGGAAGGTCAGTAATAGATTATGTAATTACCAATAGAAAAACCGAAGAAGTTATATGTTAAAAAAATGTATTTTTTATAAATAAGGAAAATTACATTATTTCTTGCCACTTATTATATTAACTTTTACATCAGTAAAACAACTCCCAAATCCATTTAAAGTGCGCGCCTTGTTTATTAGTTTGCTACACTACCTGCTAGCTGGCGCAAAAATCAATCCGAAGTCGAGTTGAGTGTCTCTTTCTTTATGTATATCCGTTATCTATGGTTACAACTTATAAAGCGTCAGAGGCGTCATAGATAAGAGAGGCGTTACGTTTAGTAGCTGGCTACGGTTAATAGTTGTTCTTTACAAAACATTAGAGAAAAAATTTCGAGATTTATATGAATTTGCAGAAGTTCTACTTTTATATGTGCAGTCAAAATAAGGTAATTTTTCAAATATATTTTCTGTACTTCTTAATTTTTTTTATTGTTCAGTCGTTACTGAAGCCATCTTATATTATCAGACAAATATTTATCCAAATTCATCCTTTTACATTTAACTTTGTTTATTATTACTATCGTTAAAAAATATCGGCAGAGATGTATTAAGCTTAGATTTTGGTTGGTTTTTAATTTCATTTATATGAAATTGGGACAACTGATGTGTATTATTCATTCATCAGATTTTGAATTAAAACATTTTTATTGGTATTTTCTTGTAGAGGTAACATAAGATAATTGCTGGAACAGAGCAGAGAGACTACTACACATTGTAGATATCAAAATTTAGGTTTTATAAACCTGAAACATTACAGTGTAATAAAGCAGATACTATTCAGAAAGTTGATATGATGACCGACAGTTTAAGTACAAATAACCACTTGTCGTCATTGTCGACAAAAATGTAAGTACTATGCAACAATTTTAAATACTTTAGTCAGTTAATGCATTGTTAAAATAATACGTTTATGAGACTAGTATTATAGTTGATTCATTTGTAATTAATGTAGTGTTCTTGTTAATGGAAATCTAGGTTGATTATAAACTGAAGTATAACAGAAAGTAGTTTTTATATATTGTTCATTTCATTATCAAGAGATTATAAGTTTCATAATTATGGACTATTGTCAAGAATAGAAAGGCAATAAATTGATGGAGATTTTAAAACTTCTTTTGTTATTTTAATTACTTGGCGATTATTAGACTTGTTGTTTTAGAGATGATAAAACAGATGATATTGGCTGGAAAGCAAAATTAAAAATACCTCCAAAGGACAGAAGAATAAAAACAAGCGTAAGTATATTTGTTTTCTTGTAATGTATAGTACTTTTAAATTGACAGTGACTGTTTATTGTTAGTCTTGAACATATGTAGATTTATTACTTATCTGCATACCTTGGCAACTCTTGTAACTGATTTTTTTTAAATACTGATGGTAATTTTACTTTGTAACAATTACGTATACTTTATATTTTCTACAATTTTCATTATTGAATAAGTGCATTTACAGGATGTAACTGAAACGAGAGGTAATGAGTTTGAAGAATTTTGTTTAAAACGAGAACTTCTGATGGGTATTTTTGAAAAGGGTTGGGAAAAGCCTTCTCCAATTCAAGAGGCATCTATTCCTATTGCTCTATCAGGAAAAGACATTCTAGCTCGTGCTAAAAATGGCACAGGTATGTAATAATAACTACTATTATTCCTATTTACCCACCCAATTGTTTTTATTAATTATCTGCTCTATTTTATCTGTAAGCATATTATAACATTATTATAAACTTTGTAATTTCAGTAATGAGTTTATTTAACCAGAATGAGATGGTAATAATTTTAGTACTTATATTCATATGTTGGAAAAATTACATCTTAAAATTAAGAAATTAACAATTTGTACTTATACTGTTGTATTTATTTGTAATTTATATCTTTTAATCAGGAAAAACGGGGGGATACTCTATCCCTGTTTTGGAGCAAGTTGATACAACAAAAGACTGCATTCAAGCATTAATAATAGTCCCAACAAGAGAACTTGCTTTACAAACATCACAAATTTGTATCGAGTTGGCAAAACATATGAATGTACGGATAATGGTTACTACTGGAGGTACAAATCTACGTGATGATATTATGCGTATATACCAAAAAGTACACGTAATTATCGCTACACCTGGTCGAATACTTGACTTAATGGATAAAGGGGTTCCCAATATGGATCTGTGTCGAATATTAGTATTGGATGAAGCAGATAAACTACTGTCTCAAGATTTTAAAGGTATGATTTATTTTTGTTGAATAATATTGTTCAATTCAGTTACACAAGGTAATACATCTCACAAAATTAGTGAGTAATAGTGAGGGATAGACTGCACCTGTGTCTGAATATAGGTATTTCTGCATAAAAGTTATTGGTGGCGTTTTTAGCTATTTTAGGGTACGTCAATGAAGATAAAAACCATGACAAAGTATACAAAAATTGATTTCGTACCAAAAAGCTAATTTCAAAATATACAGAAAAATTGTTTCTTCGAAAAATTTTCTATTTTTTACTTAATCAAATAGCAAAAAAATACATTAAGTCATTTGCATACTTATACAATACAAGTTTTGACCATACTTATTCGTTTGAAACTAAAAAATCAGTTCTGTAAGCTCGGTCTTTCAGTTGGTATACAAATCACAGTGACAATCATTTTTGTAGTGCAGATTTCGAGTTTTTATATGACATTTTGCAGTTATATTATTCTAATTTAAAGTGTCTTCTTCACACTAGCGTTCTCTTATAATTGTTTTCTCTTGCTTCATTTGCTTCCCTCGTCTGTATTTTTAGTTCCAAGCATTATATTTGATCATCTGACTCCTTATCTACCACCTGCATTCATTCTATAACTTCAGTTTTGCTATTAGTGATTGTATTATCTATTACTGACCTTCCTGTCTCTCATATATATGTGAATTCTCTTTCATGAACCTTTATATTTCCATTTAGAATTCGTTTTTCTATCAGTGATTAAAATAATCTATTACTGACCTTTCTTTTCCTCATTTGTGTGTGAATTCTCCTTCTTCATCTCCCTTTAAATTTCCATGCAGAATAAATATTCCAGAAACCCAATTTGCTAACGTTTTCCCTTCCCTACTTACTATCTTCTTCTGTGATCATTTTAGTTTCTTTCCCACCCGTATTTGCAGTTCTTAAGTTAAAATTTCCTTCCATTATTATGTATTCTTCCATACTATCCTCCAAGATATAGTTCCTTTTATCTGTTTTGATAGTTTTCTTCTCTTTTTCTGTCTTTATTTCCAATTTGATTAATTCTAAATTTAACGTTTCTATTTTCACGATTTTTACATTTAGAGATTTACTCATTGCGTGACCTTCCATATTTTTTGGTTTTACAGTTACTTTGATCAAAATAAAAAAATATAAAAAATTAAAATTTTTTTATACTTGTTTGCACCCAGGTAAATAAATATGACTTATTCTTGAGTAGATTTTAACTCAGAGTAATCGTTTGCACCATAAGTACATTCATTAGGGTCTAAAAAAGAAGTTACCTGGAATGTTTACCAGATGTTTTGAAAATGGGTAATTTTATAGATTCCGGTGTGCTTTTCCGAATTTTAATTTTGTGACCTTGTATTTTTGCCGCTTGAGTTGCCAAATTGTAAAAATGACGCCTAAAAGCAGTTTTTGGACAATATCTCCTTTCCGGATTATTTCACCATAAAAACATTTATATGCAAAATGAAAGTAGAGAAAATTACTTACAATTCGTGTAATATCTTTCTAAAAATAAAATTAATTTAAATCTAAAAACTATGTAAACTAAATATTTTACTGTGCGTTGAAACATCGACTGACTATGGCCTAAGTATGATAGATAAAATAGCCGCGGGTTATATTGCATTCTTGCATGCCTTCAGTGACTATGATACATTAGCATTATTTAATCAGGGAAAAATGAAAGTGTCCAAAAATTCAAATGCTGGTCCCTAGGTCATTGCTAAAACTGGTGAATGCTTTCCTATTGAATTATACATTTACAGTAATATGAAAAGTAACAAAAGTATAAGTAACTATAGATATGCATGCTTGACAACATTAACATATAAAAGTAAATTTAATATTGCGTCGTTACCACCAATAGAAAACAGCAGTACAATATTCGTTTAGAACCTATCACCAGGTTCAGCAGTATGAGAATGAATAAAATGCAGAGAAATTGTGGTGGAAAAGAAACAAGAACGGGTTAATTTTGGTCACTACACTCGAGCCCCCAACCCTGGAAAGCTTGTTAAAACTTATTTCTTGCAAATGCAAAAAGGGATGTCAGAAAGCCTGTGGATACAGAAAGGGCGGGTTAAAGTGCTCCGTTACATGCACGAATTGTAGTGGTACCTATTTGTAAGTTCCATTACAAGATAGCGATCAAGAGGAACAAACAGAGACTATTTTCGAGCAAACGTATGATGATATCGAGCATGAAGAGAATTGCGATGAAGTTGATAATCCGATCGCGGATGATGTGGAGGAAATTTTGGTCGTTACTAAAGACAATGAACTCGCAACACTATAGTCCATCAAGAACAGCGAAGCGAAGAAGAATGCGCTAAATTTTGGGATAGTGAATTGCATGTGGATTAGGCGTGCTGGCAATATCTCGATAAAAAAAGGGTCCGGTTACTTTATCTCACCCTGATGTGGAAATGAGTGTTTTGACCAAAACGCGTGTTGAAGTATACTTTGCGGCGTGCATACGCCAAAACTATTGATTTCACGAAAAAAAAAGGTTATATTAATTGTAGGCAATTTTTTCTTCTTTTATTTTGTATAATATAAATGTTTTTATCGTGGAATGAGTCGCAAAGGAGATATTGTTCAAAAACTGCTTTTGAGTGAAAATTTTCCAATATGGCGGCACAAGCTGCAAAAACACGAGGTAGTAAAGTTAAAATTCGGAAACAGCATATCGAAATTTATATTTTCAAAACTCCCAGTAAACTATCCAGGTAATACTATTAAATGACAGTAGTATAAATGACACTTAAGAAGTGGAACTGTTGCTTAACTTTAAACGGTTAGTTTCGGGTTTAAGGCGGTTGCCTAAGCCGCACTAAGACAAGCCTGTTGTCTTAACATTTCCGGCAGTAGTTGGATACTTTTGTAACGTATCGTAGGAGATTAGAAAAAAATAATGCGATTGAAGATTAAAGTCAGGTTATACAGGTTATATGATTGGGATATAGACAAAAATAGGAGACGAAGTCGACTAATGTCCAATCATTATTCAAATAGAAAAAGTCAACGCTGTGCTTACACCCCCGAAATATATTTTGCTGAATTTTCTCATGTATCTTGCGAAAAAGGTCAGTTTCTTTTTAATAAGAACAAAACTTGTGTAGCATTTCGTAAATAAATAATTCTTAAAAAGTAAATGTTTAGCAGTTATTTTTGTTTGTAATGCATGATGCAGTTATACAAATACTATGTCCAAAAATAAACCTATAGAACTTGTTTAAACATATAATATTATTACTATTATTTTATTATATTCTTTTTGTTAACATGAACAATAAAACTTAGACTTGTAAGGGTTAACTTATACGCGTAATTGCGCTACCTACACAATTCTGAACAGTAAAATCATCAGCTGATATAACTGTTAAATATTCGGGAATTTCTTCATAAAATTCCAGAAATTACTAAATTTTAGCGTTGGTGTCAAAACTTGAACAAGTAAGCAGTACTTATTTGAGATGTAGGTAGATACCGTACGGTGTAAACAAATTCGGAAATAAACTAAGTCATTATAAGAATAAACGCTTTCACTGCCGGAATCCATAGTAGATTAAAGATTCGGGCTATAGGGCCGTGGTCTAAGTGAACTATTCTGTCCAGACGTTTCGTCGGCTACTGCGGCTGATATCTCGAAGTCTTGACGGTCGCTGTAGAGATATAATCTACGTTCACGTTGTCAACACAGCACTACCACTGAAGATGTCAGCTGCAGTAGCCGACGAAACGTCTGGACAGAATGGTTCACTTAGACCACGGCCCTATAGCCCGAATCTTTATTCTACTAAACTAAGTCATTTGTTTAAGCATTACTTTGGTGTAGATATAATTTTATCAGACATTTGAAAATTGCATAAAAATTAAGTAACGCATTTTCTGGGCATATTTTCTGTGACTAACGTTAAACAAATGCTGCTTCACCTCATTGAAGGTGTAAGAAAATGTCCGAAATTACATGCCCATATGTAAATTTTTAAAAGTTTAGTTAATTAATATTATTTGCTTCCGATTTACGTAAATATAATTAAAATGTAAAATGTAAATGATCGACCATTCAAGTTATAGAAATCCCTCTATAGTATCATCAAATTTACTATAAAGGGTGCTTCTGAAATAAGTAGCAATCTTGCAGAAGATTATAGCACACTATAAAACCAGAAAATTAAGTAAATCTTACGTAGTCCGATTGTCCGCCGTTTCCGAGAAAAACGTATTTGAAAGTAAACCCAAGGGCCAGTCCGGTCTGGGAATATTTTAATTAATTTTTTTAATCCGAAGACGGCTATTGGCGAACTACCCATAAAAAAGGGTAACGCACCACCTTAATACTTTAAGATTTTTTTTGTACGTTTCCAATTCAGGCCCAGGGCAGGTTTCGGACTGCAACTTCTATTTTCTTTACAATTTCTATTTGTAGAGCATGTCTCTTTTATATTACTTGTCAATAATACTGTAATTTAATTAAGATTCAAGATGTAAATAATACGTCTTAAAAAACTTATTTTACCTCTAAAAAAATCCACAATTATGAATAATTTGCATAATGTATTAATTAATACATTATATTTAATAAAATTTTTAATTTATTCGCTTGATAATACCTATTTACCTATTGCGTGTAATTTATTTATTTATCAGTAATTATAAAACCTACAAGAGAGTGTGAGACTGCAAAAATGTAGAAAAGGTAATCATAATGTTGATAGGTTAGGTAACTATTCATAGCCACTGCCGTGTATAGTTAAGAAATGTATAGAAATAGAAACCCATTAGAATATTTCGGAAACTACTTATTAAATATTATTGTTATTAAGAATGGGAAATGAAGATTCCTATTGAAATTGAGATGAATTTTGTGAAATCACTTACAATACAGTAGATTGCAATATTGCAGATAACAATAATAAAAACAGCAAATAAAATAAATAGTTAATAATTGTAGATAAATTTGAAGTAAATGAAATGAGTCTATAATT